ATGTCAGGACTGATGAATGTTCCCATGTATTAACCCTAAAACTAACCTTAACATAAAAAAATAAGCCGCAGTCTTAATCTGAACCCTAGCCTTACCCTGAACCTAAACCCTACAGTCAACACGAACCCATACCTTAACCCTTTGCATAATGCTGACGCTAAACCCAACTCTGACCTGAACCCTAAATTTTATGCTCAACCTAATTTCCTCGGAATTTGGCGCTCACCTGTATGTACTTTTGGGCGGTTCCTATTCCTGTGTCCTGTTTAAACAGCCGTATAAGTCCTCCTTACAAAATTTCCCCCTGGCGACTTCGTTCTACGCAGCCTTTATCGAGATGCACTTCATCGGACACACTCCTGTTCTTCAGACTACTTTCCAAATCACCAACAGACGCCGACTTTTGTGCGTACAAGTACTAGCTTTGAAAGCAAACTTGTGCGTTACCAGGATGAAAGGCGGCTACGCAGTGTTTGCGACCACCCTCCAAATGCACTACACTAAAATATAAAGTAGGTAGTCTTTACATTCTTTCTAGATTCTCATATCGTCAGTCTGAATTAATTTTTGGCGTCCAAGTAGTGAGAATTAGACGAGGAGGCCTGCCAGCACTGTTGGCTGTCCGTCACACGCTAGGCAATTTCAGTTGCGTGATTTAACCAACCCTCTTCCTTAGGGATGATTAGACTGAGGATACGGGTGGTATTCACCGTCATAATCAGTAGCTGCCGTGTTTTTTCTGCATGAACATTTTGATGAGAAGGTTGCTATAGTTACTCTGAAAAAACTCTATCATTTTCTTATCTGAGGAAAAAATACGACCACCCACTTGTGACAAGGCCCTGCCTGACAATGTCACTGAAACCCGATGAGTGTAACTTGCCGGAAGTCCGTCAAACTGGCACAATTATTGTCTCAGCTACCATTTCCAATGACTACGATGTCATCGAAAAAGATAAAACACGGTAATAGGAACCTTCCTTCTTTCCCCAGGAGCACGAATATTTTCGTGTCCTAATCCAAATCTTAATACCAACTCTACTACTAACCTTAACCTAAACTTAAACATACCTTTAGCAATAAAAAATGCCAGTCGATGTTTATGAAAATCTGCTGATTGGCTTGCAAAATACAATAGAACGAAACAAACAAAGCCGGAAAAAGTGCATGTACCTGCAAACTATGGCAACAGTAGCTTATTTAGGCCCACTCCTTAATCCCTACTCCCTGCATGTTTTCCTACGAAAACGGTGGTTATCGGGGTTTTATGGGTGGGGAATGAGGAGCAGTGGAATATACTTTAATAAATGCCAAATACATTTTTATTCTACTGTATTTAGAAATGTTGTTGATTTATATCTGTAGATTT